ACCTGTATATGGCTATATTTTGCATTCACCTTCTACTAATTAAATTGTTGTAAGATACTACAAATAAAAATAAGCTGACTAGCCTGAATGTTTGATACCTAAACATATCTGTACAAGAAATGTACAAGAACATAAGAACATAAGGATATATAATAGAAACAGAAATGGTTACTTGAGAAGTGTCATTTGTCATGTATGATCAGGTTTATTGAGAGAGATCAATGCATAGTCCTCTGATTTATTTTTCCATTAATCATCATTATACTTCTATTATACTTCTGATGACCAATCTGTAAAATGTCATAAAATGCCCACAACTATGGTGATAAATAAAATCGATGTAATAGGTTGTGATGTCAGTGTAATGAGACAGGGTGCCTGTAATGACTAGCATTAGTGAGAATTAAATTCATTGACTATACAGCCTCTTGAACCTTTTGATTCCACTAAACAACAGGAGTGGGATCAGTGGATCCAGAGATTCATGCACTTGACTCACAACAACCAGCAAGCATCACCTGAGGAAAACCAGGTGATTATATTCATAAGTAAAGCTTAGAGGATTATTGCTAACTATGTTGTGGTACAAGGCCAGGAAACAAGGTTGGACAAATTCCTCATGCCAAGCAATAATGTAATATATGAGCGAGGTTTAATCACCACGTGCATACAACTGAACGAAACACTTAATTTGTTCATCACTTAATTGGCACGCACTAGCTGAAAACTACAAATACAGTCAGTCACGAGATGATCGGCTAGTATTGGGTCTGAGAAACTCTGTGCTTTTGGAAAAGCAGCAATTAGACAAAGATCTGATGTTGGAAATTGTTCTTACTAAACCAAGACAATTTGAAGAAATGAGACACCGACCATCAGATATCTGCTGTGAGTAACAAAGTCAAACAGGTATTTAAATACAGATGCTACATATCAGTACTAGTAGCCCACATTATGGAAATTGGATTAATTTTATCGTCGCCCCCCCTGGTCGTCAACTTTCATTGTTGGTACTTCCTCCCCAGTCAACAATTGTTACATTGCCACGCCTTTTGTGCTTTTTGTTAGAATCAGGTGGTGCTACACTTATTGTGCTATGAGTAGCTACACAAACACAATATAGTAGCAAAAGGACGGCCACAGGGGATTTCTAAATATAGTGAAAAATCTACCTAGAGCACTGCGGGGGTAGGCCAGTTACTTCCAAATTGAAGCTTTAACGAAAAAAAAAAATGGTGCCGAAAGACTTAATGTCCAAGAAGAATCACTGGTACAAGTGAGCCAAGCAAAGAAGCTTTTGATCATTATAACAAGAGCTTTAGTCCTCACCAGTCCTTACACTGTGTGGCGCAAGCAAAGACCTCAAAATCCCTGCCAACACACCCTTGTTCAAACTGGGCGCGCTCCTACTGCAAGAAAACAGAAGCATGTGGTCACCAGCGCCATATGCATTTCGGTCATCGATGCCAACTGAGCAGCGCTTTGCACAAGCAGAGAAAGAGGTGCTGGCAGCAATGTGGGCATGAAAGAGGTTCAGCAGCTTCATCACTGGGCGACATTTCAAGCTGGAAACTGACCATAAGTCATTGGTGAGTCTACTGGGAGAGAACGCTTAGGATAAACGTCTGCCAAGATTATAAAGATTTAGAATAAGATAAATGAGATGTTCATACTCAATTTTGCACATTCTTGGGAAAAGCTTATGGGCGGCCAACATCCTCTCATATGCTCCTCTAAAAGACAGAGATGGCCAAGCAGAATCTAAGCTAATGGAACACTAATATATATGCTGACTCAGTCTTTGACAGCATACCTGTAAGTAAATATTACCTGAATGACCTGAAAGGTGGCTGCACATGCACACCATATTGATGGACTTCTGTAGAAAAGGCCTCCCAAAGTGAATCAAACTGCCAAGGACGTTGAAATATTACTGGTGTGGGAGATCAGTGCTGATTGTGCATGATGGACTACTCTTGAGAGGCACAATGATGGCCATGCTATCAGTCATGGGGCATGGATCGCTTGATAAAATACATGAAGGTCATTGGGGAGTGGCGACAAGCAGGCAACAGGCCAAACAAACAGTGTGGTGGCCAAGACTCAGCAGTCAACCAAATGAGCTTCTCCTAAAGTGAAGAACCTGCACCATGCGGAGAACAAATGTCAAGGAGCCACGAATGCCAGTGAAGATGCCTGACAGCCATTGGCCAAAATTGGGATTTGATAACTAATTATTTGCTGGTTGTGGGTTACTTTTCCAGCTATGTGGAAATGGTGGAGTTCACTCCAACTAGGTCAGCACACACTGTCGTCCACCTGAAGTGGATCTTATATTATGGCCCTCCTGAAACACTTCAGACACACAACCGATCATACTTTTCATAGGTTGACTTTTAGGCTTACTGTAGCAGCTAAATAGAACTTTTGGCATGTGACTAGTTGCCTCATGTTTGCGCCCAAGTAATGACGAGGCACAAATATTTGTTTGTCCTATGAAAGACCTCCTAAAGCAGGGGTCTCAAACTCCAGTCCTGGGGGGCTGGTTCACCCTCATTTAAACACACCTGATTCAACTCCTTGTGCTATTTACCACACAGCTCTTGAGCTGAATCATTTGTGGTGGAACAGGAAAAGAACTAAGCTACACAGGGCTCCGGCCCCCCAGGACTGGAATTTGAGACCCCTGTCCTAAAGAAAGCAGTCTAGCCCTACCATGCATTGCTATTTTTCCCCAGAACAGATATAGTCCAACATAACTGTATGGCACTAACTATATACCATGGTTCCCACCTTACCAGCATTATAGGAACCTGCTCTTCCTGACTGCATGCTGGAGGCCAAAGAATGAGAGAATAGGTTGGAAAACACAAGAAACGCCAACAGGAGGAACAAGGTGAAGCACTCGGAGAAGATATGTAGGTAGCTAACATAAAAGTTCATGGTATAGCATACAACAGCAATGACAGAAGGATGATTTTCACAATTCACAATTGCACAAAATATAGTGCAAAGTGAATGAATATTACAGTTATATAGCACTTTTCAAGACTTCACAGAACCAATTGGCAGCTACTTCAACTACCACCACTGCATAGATAATGCAACAGCAGCCATTCTGCACCAGTACACTCACCACAGAGTAGCTAAGGGGGTGAAGGGGTAGAATTCACTAATAATAATAATAATAATAGATACTGTATTAATCCCCATGGGGAAATTCTCTTTACACCTCCCTCAACTTGCTCTTTGTACAGTAAGTTCTTCACGAAGGGTAGCCACCCATAGCAGCTCCCAGGGAGCTGGGGGTTAAGAACCTTGCTCAAGGACCCACAGATGTGCTGAGGCTGGGTTTGAACCAGCAACTTTCTGAATACAGGCAGACAGGCTTAGCCCACTGAGCCATATATGGGGAGATCAGGAAGCCAGATTTGAAAGGGCCACAGTGGGCAGTTTTAGCTGGACCATTGGCGTTCCACCCCTACTCTTTTAAAAGATGCACAGAGATCTTTTACAGCCTTAGATAGTCAGGATAACAGTTTTACATAATATCTGAAGGACATCACCATTTTTATAGCACAGTGCCCCCATCACTGCATTGGAATCCATACAGACCACAGGGGGGCTAATCTGTTAGCCATGCCAACACTTCTTCCAACAGAAACCCAGCTTTCCTAGTCAGTCTCCCACCTAAGGACTGGCCAGATCCAAACCAGCTTAGCTTCAGACAGATGATTTAGTCTGAAATGCAAGTGGCACAGCTGCTTAGAGGGGATGTGAAAAGAAATAAAACAGCACTAGCAAAGTCCAGGGGCATTTGTATAAGAAATTCACATCGGTTGGTGCCAACGGAAACTAAAACTGGAGTAACCGGCACAACAAACAAGGAGAAGGACGGTTCACTGCCAAGAGTTTCAGGGCTCACTCGACTAGCAATCTCAGAACCCGGTCAGGAAGAGTTCTCAAGCCTAAGAGACTTGCTCTCTGAGAAATGAAATTGGTTTAGTGTGTAAAAGAAAAATATCAGTTGCATGCACAGGATGCTAATTAATGTAACTGTTTATTAAACAGTTTGTTTATTGAAAAACTAGAACAGGCACAGGTCGTCCAGCACAAGGACAAATAATCCCTTAATACCTGAGGAAATAAAGGCAGGGTACACTTTGTTCTCAAAAAAGTGACATGGGAATAAATAAAATAGATGCCATGGGCTGTGATGTCATCAGTTAAAGGTTAAAATAATGAAAATAAAATAAAATGATATAATGAGCATGTGGCTCTGTGGGCTTAGTCTGTGTGTCTGTGATCAGAAGGTTGGCAATTCAAACCCAGCTTCAGCACGTATGCAGGTCCTTGAGTAAAGCCCTTAACCCCCAGCTCCCTAGGTGCCGCTACAGGTGGCTGCCTTTCATGGACAGCTTACTCTACAAAGAGCAAGTTAGGGGACGTGTAATCTATTACTATTATTATATGAATTTGAGAGAGCTTAAGGAGTATAGTGTGTTTTCAGTCTTGCTGAAGTTGTAACAAGAGTTCGACAAACATTCCAAACTAAACGAATTATGCAACAACCACAACTCAACAGTGAATTCTGCAGTCTGTAGGCCTGCTGTCTTCCAAAATGGCTCGCTTAAGGCCATGACGATATCCTGTCTGTTAATGTTATCTTTTTCAGGCAACCTTTAACCTCTCGCTCATGCTAGAGAGAAAATGTTACATTAGACTAAGAAATGGACTAGCAAATAAATTTCACTGTAATTTTAACAGTTCATCATTCACCTAATATAACCAATGCGGATGCTGTATGCATAGTTCACATTTTTATGTAGCTAAAGGTCAAGGCTATAAAATATAAATAAGTTCAGTGAATAAATTAACACATAAAGCTGCGCATATTACTAGACAGAGAAGTACTGGACACTAATTATATTTCAGTGTGAAGGTTAACAGTGTCCAGTGTGACTATTTAACTATTCAGTGGGGGGGTACCTCTGTCTTACCTCCATAAAGAGCTTTCTGTCACGCTTCCCAAGTTGAAGTCATAAAGCTTGGTCAAGATTAGGATCACCTGAAAAAGGAGGGAAAATTATTCATCAAAATTTGTACCAATAATACAAAACAATTGCAATGTTGCTTAATGCACTACATTCAATAACAAATAAATATCACTAAAACACAACATTCATATGTTATGTTTGTGCATATATACACCAAACAGAATAAAATAACTGAGCGATTAATCATTTATGTACAATGGTGTACCATAAAAATACAAACAAAATAAAGATTTTTAAAAAGAATCTGCTGACTGTTGCTTAAATATAATTATTTGCTGACATACAGAGAAGAAAACTTCAGCTTGAACTTTAGACAAGACAATACACTAAAATTCATTAAATAAGGACACTTTTGTCTTCACTCAAGACCATAGGCTTTAATTGCAGAACTTTAAAAACACCATTCTGCTGTTTCCTCTTTCCAAAATAGCTGTGTCAACAAAGTGTCACTCCTTTATCATTTTATCTTCCTTTTTTCGAAAATGAGAAAGTGGATAATATTCAGTAGCTTCAACACGACAGTGATTATCAGCAACTGGAATGCTGCATAACCAGGGTTTAAATATAGACAGAGACCAACAGAGCCAAGTTCCACCTCCTTATGTCCAAATCGCAAATTCCACCTCCTTACACATGAATCTATTTTTAACCCCCCCCCCCCCCCACTCTGTACCTGAAAGGGCTCCCCCATCTCTCTGATTCTAATTTAACCCCAGCACATAACCAAGTTAAAATCATAAAATACTGTGCAAAATGAGAGACAGCCAGAGGTACAGAATCCTTAAACATCAAGCAAACAATATCCATTCATAAAATACAAAAAAAAGAAAGAGGACTTAATAGGTAAATAAATCAGATACAGATACAAGCCCCAACCCATTTTTGACAATATGGGAACCAAAGTCATGGATTTTCAGTTCAATATATCACATTCTGTTCTTTTGCGCATTTAATGCATATTGTCACAAATATACATTAATGTACTTTGACATAATGACTTAATTTAGCTGCACAAGTACCTTGTGAAATGTTGATTTGACATAATGCTAATCACTGAAAAAATCCCTTGTCTGAAGAGAGACCAGACTTGGAAGATGAGCTAGGAATAAACAAGAAATGTATTCATTTCTCTCTAAGCTGATTTTGGGAGGAGGGCAAACAGGTGGAACACAAAATACAATCAATTACAAGAGTCAACACTGCTGTCAGTGTTACTAGGGGCACAAAACAAACAAAATATATGTATGCGGTATAATATCAGTGAATGCATGGTAGGGCACATGCAAAAATATGCTCAATATGGGCAATTTAGTGATGCCCGTTCGCCCTGCATGATTTGGACTGCAGAAGAAAATCTGAACAACAGTGCATGCAAACTACACTCACTCTGAGATGCTGATTAGGGTAAGTAATCAGAAGATGGATGGATGGATGGATGGGAAATACACACACAGTATTTCAGGAGGGGGTCAAATCCCCATCTCCCAAGATTGATTCTGTACCAACAAAAACCTAATGAAATATGTTATGTGAATATAATTTCATTTTTTTCTGCTTCAGTGGTTTACATGCAAAAAAAAAAAGGTTTTGTAGAGCATAATGTCATATAATATATCAAGGACTGACATTTTTGTGAGAGTTAAGAGAATAACTTTTAGTGGTCTAGGTATCAATGAGCATGTCTTCATCCGTGGCTGGTTCGGGGATGTGGTCTGAAGCCCGAAATCAATTTAAAAAAACATTACATGGCAATAGCAGCTTGTTCACTCCAGGTATAAATAAACATCATTCTCCAAAATAAATAGTTGTATGCTAATAGTTAGCAGCTTATACTACTGTGATATTCACATGTCCCTAATATTGCTTTAGAGCAGCCCAATAAGCTATGTAGCTATAATCTTTTGATGTCAGACTCGTGTCGTCCTTAGGGCAGCCCTGCCACTTCTCACCCACTGCTTCCAGGCTCACCTGACTGACTTCCAAGGCATGGTCTGATTCACGTCCCTTCAGATACAAGCCTTTGCTTTGCTGGAAAAGTAGGCCTAGTGTTACTCAGGAACAGACATTTAGGCCATGCAGGACTATAGTCCTGGAGAGGGAAATGTGGTAATGCAATGCATAGGAAATCCTGAAGGTTCTCATGCTATGGCTGAATGCCTGGTCGAAGGAAAGCAGAGATTAGTGACAATTTCCTTTTCGTCTTTTTTTCTTTTTTGTTTGAGTGGCTAATCCATCTATACTGCAAGGTAGTGACTGCAGTTGAGGAGCTAGGATCATGATATTAGTTTTTACTGGCCTCATGAAAGGAAAGGGTGTGTGTGTGTGTATGTGTATATATAACATTTACAGGAATTCTGCAATCCCCTGAATCACATGCATGTACTTAAGCAGCATAAAATAAGAAATGTAACGCGTGATCAAAACTACTTTTTTTTTCCTTTGGAAGAAAATTTAAATTTTTAAAGCCCAGCAGACCTATAATTTGGAGGAGAAATGTCAGAAATGCTCATTTTTAATTGTCGTCATTACAGTTTAATTAACTGAATGTAGCAAAATGATATTAACATAACAAAATGCACCATGTCCACCAAGACCAATTTAAAACGCCCAATACAATTCTGAATTTTGATTGTTTACTAGAAGTCCAGATGGAACTAATGCGTTTTTTTTTGGAAAACCTTCCATCCTTTCTCCCGGCTGTCATTGGTACAATTATATCATCTTTATACTGTTGGTGGCTGTGACTGTCTAACATTTGGCAACCTGGTAGCAACCAGATTAAATTAACCATGCATGAACATTGTAAATATGCTACATTTGCCTGCTCTGTCAAGAGAAACATTAGCAAGTCCTGAAAGGTATATAGAATAATGTGAATCAGGGCAAATACATTTATATGCATTCATACTATGGGATGTATTTTTCATTAGGTGCAAGTTATACTAATAGCCTTATATACATATCTAAACGAATGTTTAATTTGATCACATGTCGAATATGCATAGGTAATTCTTCATAATTTGAATTTGATCATGTGTTTCCATGCAACAGACAAAACCGCCAGTAGCATTTGATGTTAGTCATTATCTAGAAGTGATAAAGCTTTTAGGCTTTCATTTATGTGTCAGCTGCAAAGCAATTACTCCATTATATCAGGGCGACACATTTATTGCAAAGTAATATGTTTGATCTACAGTTATTACTTGTCATTGTAGTTATGAGCTTCCCTCTGTCTTGTCACTTTCTGATTCAAGCAGGTCCAGTTGATGACTGCCATAGCTGTATAAATACTTCAGCACAAAACCTTGAATTTTCAGTGTTGTTTAATGCAACTATTTATATGTATAATATATAAACAGTAATTTGCATCCTTTCTCCTTATAGCATTCTAATGTTTTCCTCAGAAGAGATGCAATTTTACCGTAAAAGGCAAAATCTTCAGCTAGTAACCCTTAGGTTATTCCCATTGTAACAGTAGGACAAATACCAAGGCAAGCTACCACATCATCTTTAAATAGTCTGGCAAACACATTAAAGGATAACACTCATAGCCTGAGTTTGTAAGCTGGTACCATCCAATTGGACAGAATAGGTGAAAGAAAAAATCTTGTCAGACTAATATAGAGAAATATTTCATTGCATTTCAGCAGGACAATTTTGTGGTCCATTGCAGTGTAGCACTGACCCATCTGCCTCATCTTCCTGCTTTATCTGTGCAGGTAACTGTTACTGGCACAAGCCTGACCCTCCGGCTTGAGCCTCCTTTCAGTAGAACTTTATGAAAAAATGACACCATATTACACTGCCAGTGCAAGGTTTGGACAAGCCTACCCATAGAAAGGTTAATTTCTACTGTTCCTTACATTTTAGAATATTTACAAATACATCAAAACTATTAAAAATGACATACACTCACCTAAAGGATTATTAGGAACACCATGTTCAATTTCTCATTAATGCAATTATTTAATCAACCAATCACATGGCAGTTGCTTCAAT